GGATTTTTTATATTCACTCGATAGGGCGAAACCTCCTCTAATAGAATCAGTGGTTCTCTTTCGATTTTTCCCGTTTTTTTTCGAGTTACAGTGCCGGAAGTGCGGGCGTGTGACAGGTCGTACTGCGTCGTTACCTCTCGTGGCTTAGCTCTTTGGAATTTTTATTTTGGATTCGGATTTTTTATATTCACTCGATAGGGCGAAACCTCCTCTAATAGAATCAGTGGTTCTCTTTCGATTTTTCCCGTTTTTTTTCGAGTTACAGTGCCGGAAGTGCGGGCGTGTGACAGGTCGTACTGCGTCGTTACCTCTCGTGGCTTAGCTCTTTGGAATTTTTATTTTGGATTCGGATTTTTTATATTCACTCGATAGGGCGAAACCTCCTCTAATAGAATCAGTGGTTCTCTTTCGATTTTTCCCGTTTTTTTTCGAGTTACAGTGCCGGAAGTGCGGGAGTGTGACAGGTCGTACTGCGTCGTTATCTCTCGTGGCTTAGCTCTTTGGAATTTGTTAGAATTTATTGAAAATTTTAATGACTTCTTGCTAAAATTTGTGATAAGTGATGGTAATTTCAGATCGCACCACGCAGGCATTGTTATGCAATTGAGCCGCTGGCCTGAAGGACCCAAAGCTATTGCAGTAGCTACACCACTGAAGCTGTTGCCAACGATAATACCCAGGACCGACTCTACTGCTCTTTGGGCCCTCGTGAAGAGGAATAGACTACGGACTTTTCAAGGATCTCTTATACAAGAGGCGTAGTGGCCCTACTGTCGGTTATGTATACTTGTACATACACAGTTACGATCACTTCTGTCTTTATCATGATTAAAATTATAATTGTTTTCCTCCACAGGTAGCCTGTGCACAATGTTTGTTACCCGTGATCTATGCTACATATCCAATATTCCAAATGGGGCTATTGCTGTATCAGTCATGGATCTCAGATGTTTCACGAAACCAAACCCTACTGACACCATCTCGTGTCAAAGATACGCTGCCTTTGAACGAAAAGCTGAAGCTACGAAGATTTACGAAAATGATTTTTCATTTAGTATTCCAAGTACGTTATTTTACTATGAATTCGCAACGCTAATCGTCGTTATTCTCAATTATTTTTTAACACACATTTTAGAATATGAAGAACACACGAGCAAGCAACAGTGATGTAGCTTCATCCTTTCAAGATAGGCCATGTTATTTTCTCCGTAAAGCGTGCACAAGGAATTTAAGAAGAACAACAATGTTATACCTAGGTAAAAATAACTAACTAACTTTGCAACAGTAATTGTCATTATTTGCAATTATTTTTTAACACGCATTTTAGAATATGAAAAACACACGAGCAAGCAACAGTGATGTAGCTTCATCTATTCTTGATAAACCACGTTATTTTCTCCGTAAAGCGTGCAGAAGGAATTTAAGAAGAGCAACAATGTTATACCTAGGTAAAAATAACTAAGTAACTTTGCAACACGAATTGTCATTATTCTCAATTATTTTTAACACACATTTTAGGATATAAAGGACAGACGAGAA